GTAAAAGTACTTTTACTTTACCGAATATTGTGAGCTGTTTAATGACTTTAATAAGTACTTTTCTTATCAGTGAAATAAATTTTTAACGAAGTCCTTTTCTGTTTTTTTTTTTTCTGTTTTTAGATGTACCATCAAATCCGTACTCAGTCCGTCTGTCGGCCGTCTCCCAGCGCTTAGCGACGGTCACGTTCATGAAGCCGGACTCTCATGGCGGCGTTCCCATCAGCTACTACCTGGTCCAGTACAAGGAGTTGGGTTCCCAGGACTGGAGAGACGTCAGGTCACACAGTGACCAAAGTGAGTTCATAGTGAAAGTTTACCTTTAACTTGTTTGTCACACCTTTAGTTGAAACWCTTCAAAACTGTTGTGCAGTGTCTATAGGATATTAGTCTGCAGTGTGTTAAACATCTGAGCATGTTGATTAATGGTGCAAGGTTTGGCAGCTTTTTTTGTTCAGAGCAGTAAATGAAAACAAAAAATAAAAGAATTGTTCTCGTCTTRATTTATAGACGACTATAGATTTATTAATTCTTTGTACTTCTCTGTCAAAACACCAATGTAAGATATAAATGAAGACACATGGAGAAAACTGTCTTTCAATTTGGGCATTGAGAGCTTCAGCCCATTGATGCTGGTCAACAACCTAATACTGACCAGGCCATTGGTGCTGGAACTGAACTAAAATAGTCCTTTTTATGGATTTTGCTGTTTTATTTTGGGACTTTATTTTTAAAAATGCCTCTGAAAATAAATTTATGTGTACGGTACTTCCTTCCATACTGGTAAGCCAAGAAAAGACCATAATTTCTGGAATAAAGGAGCCTATTTTAGTTAACTAGGCAAACGGATCTCAAACAAGTTAGAGAATTCCCTTACCTCRGGTCTTTGTCCACATCAGAGGGCAACTCACTTCATGAGGTTAAGACAAGAAGAATAAAAGTTGCTTTTGACTTAAGGCTGCGTCACACTGCAAGATTTTAAAACAGTCAGATGATTTTCAAAGACTGAGAGAGTCCACACATGAGGATAAAAATCCTGGATATAGCAGGTTTGGTCCTAGTGTGTGGTGAACAGCCACACGGCAAGAGACAACAGACCACACAAAAAGATATTTCATTCATGAACATTCAGGTGTCAGATATTAAATCACGCAAGACTTCCTGAAATTTCGCAAGAATTCATATGTCCAAAGAAAAATCTCACGTGACCTCCAGAGAGACGTGAGTTCAGAGTAAATAAAACATTTGAAACAAGGAAGAAACAATGTGGATTGTTTGTGGACTATTTTTACCAGAGGAAAAACAACTCCAAAGGACGTTTAACATCCAGCAGACTTTCTGCTGAGTCATGACAGTTTTTGTGAGTTCTGTATTTTTGGAATCCCCTCCATGTTTACGTCACCTCACTTTCTGATTGGCTACACGTCTCATTCACAGGCTGAGAGCTYGGGTGAACACCACACACTGTGATATTGGGCCAAAAAATCAAACAYGTTGAATAAATCCAATTTGAGGTCGRAGCRGTCCCGACGTCCTTCCGAGCCGACTASATCACTCTTAACTCACCAYCCACGGCAGGAATATCTGCTATGATTCTCTTTAGAGCCATCACGATAATCTGGAYTTYSTTAAGATTGTCAGAAGGGCAAAAATCAGCCTGATTATCTTTCTGTGTGATGCAGGCCTTAGCTAGACTCAAACTTGTTGGGAAGGACAGATCAGTGTGGTTGGCTATCTCAGTTTGTCACCTTCGTGCACATGTTCTGTCATTATTTTAAACTTTTTATTTAAAACAGGGACAATATACAGTGTGCATTAGCCATAAAAGGAAAGATGCACTGTATCAGGTTATAGC